TTGATATTCGGCCGGAGATAGTTCAACCATCTAAGGCGACAGCTTTTGCCACACCTTTTAAGGCCTGATCATGAGAGCAGCACAATATTAATCATAATGATCAGATGATCAGCTAAAAAGAAAGTTTATTATTAATCCTGTTAACTGATTTGAGAGGAAGATTTCAATTAACTATACTGACCTATCTTCTGGGGCAAGGCAATCCAGTTGCCGCCGGTGCCATGCTTCTCAATGTAAGCCTTGAGAGTGGTATCTTCCTCAGGTGACCAGGGACCTTTCTTGACATTGGCTTTGTCACAGCAAGGAGCTCTCCCCATGGCTTGGGCTTTGGCTTTGGCTTTTTGTGATCTGGGTTATGTTGTGATGTGAAGGCAGGTTCAGGTACTAAGCTAGCTCTATATAAGTATATATCAGCTGCTTCCACTTGATGATGATTTGATAAAGATAATGATAATGTTAATTAATATAATATAATATAATATATTCAAGAGAGAGAGAGAGTATAATAGCTGGAGAAAGAGGGAGAGGGGCATGGAAAGGGTCACAGAATTTCAAAAAGGTGAATTGAAGAAAAAAGGATGAGCCTTTACGTATAGAATATTAGAGAAATTGGAAATGCCAGAACAGGAGACCAGGGTTTTATCTCATTGTCTTTCTCACTCCAGAATATCTCTCTCTTCTCTCTCTCTGTCTCTCTCTAAAACACACACTATTTCCGCCATCCACCTTGACTCTCTCTCTCTCTCTCTCTCTCTCTCTCTCTGTAGAACATAACATAGTGGATGGTGATGATGTTGAAGAAATAAGTGACGCAACTCTAGAAGGTTTCAAGAGTTGAAGCAAACAAATCAGACATCAGCTTGGTTTGAACTCTTCCTCTGGTTTATGACTATGAATGGTTCCTTACTCATCAGTTATGCCTGCAATGAGGAGAACCATTCATCATCTTGATCATAACTCAAAAGGGCCTAGTCAGGATCCTTTTTTTTCTTTTTCTTTTTCTTTTTTTATGAGAGGCCTAGTCTCAGGATAGGTTTAAATTATTATTATTTTTTATATAATTAAAGAGCTTGACAGTTACCTAGCTAAGTCTTTTTTTCTTTTCTTTTCTTTTTTTCCTTTTTTATCAAATAAGAAACTTTCATTCCACCAACCAAGGACGAAGAAAACATACAACCAAGGGTAAAAAAATAAATAAAATGAACTATATATAATTAACCAGGCTTCATGGTTTAATGAAAGGGAGATTCATTATAATACCCAATATAGGAGCTCAAATTATAAAAAAAAACTCTATATAAAATGGACTTTAGAAACACACCCAAAGCTCATTTACAACATAATAAAAAGGTTTTTAATTTCTTTCAAATTACAAAACTGTCATTGATTTCTTAAAACAAACCTAACCCAAAAACCTCATAAAAGAGCTCAAAACACTCAATGGGGTATCAAAGTAATTTAATAATTAAAATTCAATTCAATTGTGTCAGCTGTCATTTTTTGGATTTTTTTTTTGGTATATTTATAAAAATTAAATAGTGTAGAATTTATTTATAATTTTAGTGCTAAGAATGAATATTTGACTAAATATCTCTTAATTGAAATGACCCTTTCAAAAGTCTTAACCTCTGGTTTTTTGTTCTTTTCTTTTCTCGGATTTTGGAGTCGTTGGGGTTGGTTTCGATGAAAATATCAAGAGAGTTTTGAGGAATTTAGGGACAGTATTTTGTGAATAAGCACACCCCAAAGTCAGCCTCCCTAGTGGATGAAGCAATAACAGACTGTTTTTAACTTTTCTTAAAAATGAGTCCTCCAGCTAATATAGAAACAAACCACCAAAAGTAGATTTTATTCACTTGAAAAGGCCCAACTCCTTATCAATTATTATGCATTTTCTTCACCTGGATAACATAGAAAGGCAAACAAAAACAAAAACATAGGAAGGCAAGAAATTAATACTCTAAGATGAAAAGAAAATTGGGTAAGGGATACAATCTTCATCCTCGGATTCGACTACATGACGTCCTCACATCCTCGGATTCGATTACATTCATTTTGAGCTTCTTGCATTTCATATTGTGAGTACATATATGAAGTAATAAAGATTTATTTTTTCATTCAACTACCCTGCATGACTTCCTCCAACAAAATTGAGATTGGGTGTCATTAAATCGAATTGTTATTGTCACATTAATATAAGAATTGATCCGTGAATCATCTCACATTAATGTGTCAATAATCATGTGATTTGATCTCATTATCTTAGCTGACCACATAATGTATTGATATGCACTCGAGGAGGATAGAGGGTGGAGCCACCCTTAAACTAGGTGGGATTTAACATCAGTTTGGTGCTAATTGTTAGGAAATTCATTGCATTATATCACTGCAAGAATTGATCCAGTGTACTCGAACAACTCCTTATACAAAATCACTCAGTCATCCATATATAATAGATAGAAAATCAAAATTATAGCCCTGTCGTATAAAAATTTATAACTCCGTTCTTGGATGTACTTTATGAAATCAATTATTGTGACCAGTTGCTAATAATATATCGACAGACAAATGTGTACGCTAAGGCAGTTGGAAAAGGTAAATAATCCCTCGAGTATTTTGTCCTATGAACTTTGAAGATATCAAATAATTTTGACTTGTTATGCTCTGTTAAGAGATTTATTCTATTCATCTTCTAATTATAGACAACATAGATTGAAAAATCTAGAAGTCGGGAGGCGGCATGAGGTATACTACTATTGTTGTGTGGAATATACTGGAAGGTTTTTCGTTATGGTAGGTGACCGAATCACCACCAATAGAAGAAGAAATCACCCCGAAATTACCATTACCGTGAGATTAAAGCAAAACCTGTGATGTGATAGTAGGATATGATATGACAAAGGGGATTATCTGACCTGGGACATGGCCTACAAAAGGATTTTGAAGCCTTGGTACGTGGACGACTGTGAACTGTCTATGCATTTACATAATAAATTAACGGTTGACAATTATCCATGCGGGTTGAGGACTGTTCTTTGCATCAACAACTTCAAACACACAACAGATGCATCCACCATCGATACAAACTTTGCAGCAATAATGGATAGCTTTTTAGGTACCAAAAACAAAGATACAACAAGATTTTGATTTAATTATTTAAAATTTAAATAACATTTGCTGGACCAATCGTAAAGTAACCAATTATGCAAATGACACATGCCATTTTTTAGACCCAAATAGCAAAATATAATTATGCTAAAGACTTTAAAAGAGACTAGAGTGCTTGTTTATATTAGCAGTCAGCAGCCGGTGATCCCATAGAGGAATCCCACTGTCACTTGTATTACATCAGATCTTAGACCTTCTTGCCTGTCTTTTTGGGGTCTGATTATTATTATATTCTACAGTCTTTAATGATTAAATTATCTTTAATCTCGTGCATGATAGGCCCAGCTTATAATCAAAGGAAACCACATAGAAAAAGAAAAAATGAACACCAAAAAAGAAAAAAATGGCTGCCTTGACCCAGTATGAAAGGGTAAAAAGTCAAAGGTAGGCTGCTTGTTGATTTTTCACAAAACTTAGATTTGTCTTATGATTTTTATTTTTTTTTAAATTGGGTTTTGTTGTCGTATATTATGTGGTCAGAACAAGTATATAAAGTTATAAAACAAAAAATCAAAGTATATATAAAGTTCCTATCGAAGAAAGAAGAAGAAAAAAGTTGCTAGTGGTAAAGTGTGGTTGAAGGAAGTACACTACTTTTAATGAAGAGAAGGAAATGGTCTTCTTGGTAGGCCAAGTAAACGGGCCTACCTCTCTCTCTCTCTCTCTCTCTCTCTCTCTCACGTTTGTTTTAAAACCTTTTCTCTTCTCTTTCATGTGTGATCCAAGTCGAAGACCTGTTCTTGGTGTGAAAGAGTTATTGTGACTGACAGTTTTCAAAGCAACACAGCTCAAGGCCACTTTCTTCTCGAGGCATTTTCTAACCAAACCATTTGTATTGCACAAGTACATTTGACTGACTAGTGGAAACAAAGCTGTTCTTCACGTGAGCTAGCTTCTATAGAACGTTGTATTAACTAATTACTATTTGGAAGTGATTCTGAAAATGTTGAAAGCACTCCATGACAACAAAAAATTTACAATTGCGTTTGGCAGAAAAATTTAAAAGTGTTCATAAGTCATAAAAACACTTTCTGCCTCATATTTTTCAAGAAAGTAGATATTTTCTTCAGAAGCACCTTGTTTGAAAGGGATTTTTTATTCATCGTTTTATTGCTTTGAAATTGTTATCTGGGTGGTCCTTTTTAACCAAAATTTGCTTTCAATATGCAAGTGACTGGAAATTTCCCACCATTGGAATTGGACAAAGAGGGAGAATTATAATGCTGCACATCGTCTGAAGTTCTGAACCATGTATTATATATACAGGAGAATGTCAATTTAGTCAGAGAACAAATTATAAAATAATCTGTTTTTCCTCATCTATGTTTGATTCTTGAAGTATTGTCTATTATAGTCCACTGAAAATAATTATATTTCTTTCTTTATAATAAAACCATGCATCTGTAAAATAAAGAAAACAAGTGTCTTCGAAGAAAGAACGAAAGATATATCAACATCTAGAAGCCTAAGATCCTTAAATTTGATAGTAGGATCTAGAAACAACCTGGACTCTGGAGACCATCAGTCTTGACTACATTTATTGTAAGTTGACCCTGCAAATTTAGCCATGCATGCATGGAAATTTTGAAAAGAAAAAAATGGAATTCTGGAAGTTCAACTTTCTATTCAAGGATTTTTTTCATTTTAAAACAAGTATGAACGTAATCCCTACATGTAGTTTCGTGGCAATGAGGTAAGTATGGATCAAGCTGTAAATTCAAACGTTTTATTTTGAAATTTTTCTAAGTGCAAAAATATTATGATAAACGTTATATCGCTTTTTGTATTATGTAATCAACGAGTCACGCCAAATTTTTCTTTCCACTCTACTTTAAATAGCCTCTAAAACTCTTAATCTACACTCTTATTAATTCATCGAAAAGAAAAAGAAAAAAAGTATGTAATCACAAGATAAATTATTTATTGTGTATTTCCTATTCATTACATAAAACGATGATCCATGTGATAGCTGTGTATCTCCAATAATTTTCCTCAACAATGGTAATGACCGACTGTGACAGATGTCAAATGCTCTGTGAGTAGTTTGTGACAAAGGAGGGAAAGCATTCCCATAATTGACTGCTACAAAATCTTTCTAAGAAGAAAGCAACTGAACCTTTTTTCTATGATCATCAGCTCAACTTTTGCTTTGCTTTCCATTAAAAAGGAAGTCAGCAACGCGGTTTCTTCCTTGCTCATTGTGCTTTTCCAAGTCTAGCTTTTTGGAGGAGAAAGGAAGTGCAGAGAAATTTAAAACATAGATAAGACAAAGATGCAGATAAATTTTCAATATATTTTAACATTTACTTTTGAAAGTTTAGTGGTAATGGCGCCGCTTTCATATCAGGCTATTGGCTTTGCATACTTGATGATACTCCCGGAGATTGTGTTTAGGTCTTGGGGGGCTCAAATTTTCAATGCACTAGAAAGCAATTTGACTCTTACAAAAACGACAAATAGCTTATTGCTCTGCTCAAGTTGAAAAGAAACCGAGATATGGTGCTTGTCAAGGACTCTCTTAAAAGTGTCATTAGACGACGAAGTCTAATGGTATGCTGCACTAATTTAATCACGGATCATTCTTTGATACAAAGAAATAATCTCAGTTTCTTCTAGATTTTTTGACAATGAGAACCATCGCAGAATGGGATGTTGTTTGAACTAGAATCTGCAGTGCACTAATTTAATTATAAATAGCCGTCGGATAAGCCGATCTAAGATGATCTATAAGTTATAGGAGATGTGGGTTAACCTCAATTATGCGGATCTCTAATTAGATTAAAAAGTTAAGCAATGTGTAGATCCATTTTAAGTGCATGAAAACTTCCAACCAAAGCAGATGTTTTGGATGGTTTTAAAGTAACGAGTGTATCTGACCCAACAGAAACATATGGATTTGAATGGTAGCGGTTGCTTTTAGGTAGAGGAGGTAGCCAACCTAAAATGGATTTTGAGTTGTGATTTATATGGTACGTTATGGAAAAATACTCGTGGGCTTATGATATTCGACCATTTTTAAAATAGAACTAAATATTTATAATACCATTGAATCTAATAAGTGCTACTGAGGTGAGCGATGCACATACGAAATTTTTATGTTTTGGTAACACGTAAGAAATGTTAACTAATAAGAAATCTGAACGAAAGTGCCAAATCCCAGTTCAAGAACGGACTATCTACAAACAGAGGGAAATAGTAAAACAAACAAGGTAAACAAGAAATAACTAGCAGTCAACCAAAGGATTGATAGTGATTTGGAGCACCTGCAGCGGGGAGAGTAAAACTCGGATTTTCACTTCAGTATGTTTTTTGCCTTAGCTCAACAGTCCAATCCAACTTGTCCTGGGTGAGGCCCATCTGTAGTCTGGTAAGCACAGAGTAGAGCTTTTCTGACACAGCTCCAAACCCGCCCTCTCCATAAGACACCCTGCACAAACCAAAGATGATTATTTTTTCTTCGAATCTGGTATCCACTCAACTCAGTTGAATGAGGGAGGCCCTATATCTGTAATAAGCAAGAGAGCTTCACATTATGAATAAGAGACATCTATTGCGATGCAATAAATTGCATTTAGCTTGCACCATAATAGCTATATATGTGAGCCATATTAAATTGAAAAAGGCATTTTTCACCCCTTATAAGAGGTGGACAGAATCAGGAGCAGATTGTTTTCTCCCCCCGCAAACAATTGTTTTCTCCTCCCGCAAACAAGGAAAGGCCGAAGAAGACAACTTTATTTCCCCATATTGAGGAAAAAAACTTAAATGCCGGAAACCTTTTCCCATCTTGTTGGAGCACAAAGAAAAACTTGCTTTCAGACCAAAAAAGAGAACAGAAAAACACTCTTCGACGCATTCACTAGACATAGAAAATTTACCTTTTACCGTGATAAGTGATGCTGCCAACAGGTGATACAACCACAGCTGTTCCCGTACAAAAGACTTCATCAGCATCTAGTAATTCATCAACTGCCACTTGGCGCTCCTCAACCTGCACATTATTAGATGGGGATCAGGAAATGAAGTTACTCGATAACACATTTAAGCTACTGCAGAAAAAGTTGTAATACACGTTGCATACTGAAGAATCAATGCAAACAAATTTTTTTATTTTTTTATTTTAAAAAAGACTAGAAACAGTATACCTTTCACTATCTAGTAAACAAGAAGCAAGGACAAGGTTAATAGCAGCAGAACAACTAAGGAAACACCATCCCCCATCCCCAACCCCACAATGAAATACAATTACTTTCAATAAGTAACATCAATTATACCTGGAATCCTTCGCTACGAGCAACATCAATTATACTCTTTCGAGTAATGCCAGGTAAGATCGTTCCCTTGATTTCAGGAGTAGAGATAATATTATCCTAGAACACAAGAAAAATTGACATCATTTAGTACATATATGCTTGAGAGTGAATATTACATGACAGATATATGGGGGATTATGCTGCACGAGATGTTAAGTTACAGGGAAAGAATGCAGTTGAATTTAGGTCAAACAAGACAGATCATACAATAGTTAAACAAAATCACAAATAATTATATTAGAAGCAGTAGGCCAGTCATCGAAAGCACTAGGCTCCATTTACATTCAAGAAACAGCTGCTTCCAGACTGCTATAGGAGTAAAAATTACATTAGAATTTATTCCAGAAATTAAATGGGTACAAGCTTCTTCTTCAATTATATCAAACACAGAAATGATGAAATGCTAGAGCATTTGTTGTTACGTTACGGTATTGATGAAAGGTTGCAATGCTAAAAGTGGATTTCAGTGCTAAAGGTTATTCGACATGCCAAGTAGCAATAAATGGTAAATGTTAGATGTCTTTCATGCCAGCGGCAGTAGCCATGCTTTCATGTTGGTAGCATAATATTGGCAGGTCCATAAGTGCCAATGTCAGTGACAGATGTAACCAAAAGGGCATCAAAATAAGATGCTTCAAAAGAGTGTTGGTTTGGAAAATGCTGCATTTTCTCAAGTAGTGGAATGGTGATCCCATTCCAGATCATAGCAAGTGCAGGTGGATGATTTTGGCATGCCACTCTGTGAACTCAATAATACCATGAAAGCATGGTTCTTCCAAAAGGATCTAGGCATTCAAATCTAGAATTAAATGGCAACAATGTAGAGAAAGACGTATCACAGGATCCTATAATTCTGTACATAAGCAGTTATCATCTAAATGTCCTGCCCTTCCCACCACCAATCAATAATGATATACTGAATGTAAATAATAATAAGCACGGTGAATTCCAGTCGCAATACCTTCACAACAAAAATGTTGCAAGAGGAAACCTCCTCCAGATATCTTTTGTGAACACAGTCAAGGTATAGAACATCAGAATAGCCTTTTGCTTTTGCAGCAGACTGAGCCTTCAGAACCTACACATAAATGATTTGATGTTAAAAGATTTAACACAACAACAGCTACATACTATAATCTAAGCTTAATAAAGTAGAACGGCAAAACACCAAGAAGCGCTAATTTAACCACAGGAAAATGCTTAGGACAAGACTTTTTTCAGTCATTGACTTTGCACAACTTAAACTTACTAAAGAAATACATATTTGATGTTTATAAATTATAAGCCCATCAATGAACACGGCCAGAGCCTCACATTTAAAGAGAGTGTGAAACCATATTTGATCACTATGCTATATAATATCTATAAAACTAAATAAAGAAATGTTGCTTTTAGTTCTTGATGTACAAAATTTTTTTGAACCATATGCAGAGGAAAAAAATATAAGTTTGCTGTTTCATACCTTTACACTAAGAAAGTAGAGCTAGACAAAAGTTTCAGGGAGCAGACAAGCAAGAGTTTTCCAAAAAAGAATTTGGCAAAATTCAGGTAAACAAGAACCAAACAAGAAGAGGAACACTAGCTTACCGCAGCATAATTCCCTATAGTCTTAACACCTCCAGTGCCACCAGGAGTAGCACGATGCAATTCATGCTCAACAATCAAATTTATCGGCGCAACACCTTCCTGCCACCAGATATACAAATATAAGACATTGAATGATTGTACCAGAAATGCACCTACGCTAGCTAAAAGGAGACAAAAATATCACAAACGTGTAGAACCCAAATGCAAACAACTACATATTTACGTCTAAAAAAGGAAATCGCAATGAAACAAATCTGCACACTCATATAACAAAAAGATAAAAGAAAAAAAGAACAAAGTGCTGCGTTGAATTATACATTCGGGCACCAAAAAGGAAGATAAAACTATGCATGTAAATTATAACATTCATGACTATGACTATGAGTCACTGAAACATTTGAAACAAACATCAAAACTGATAAATTAATTAAAATGGGCAATATTTATCGAAGTGAAAGATTCCAACATGGGTCCAAAATTGAATTGAAGCATGAGTTACTGAATTATTTAAAACTGCCTTAAGTTTAAAAACAAATTGACCATAATAAACCTGGCATAACAAAAACAAATAGAATAAAGTTATTGAAAACAAATTTTAAAGAGAAAATTCACATTTTGTAGAAATATGGAAGTACAAAAACAAACCTTAAAATAGTTTCCAACGGGTGAAACATAAATCAGAAATGTGTACTCAGGAGCAGGTGCCAGACCAAGAACAGCACCACTTCCCATTAGCAATGGCCTGATATATAGGGAACCTTTCCCTGGAGGGGGAACCTGAAACGAGAGATTGACAACTCACTAGTAATATTACACATGCTAACATTCACAAAGAAAATATCTTACTACTGAATCATGGTTGTAAATTACCCAACGTTTATTTGCTAAAACAGTAGCCTTTACAGCTTCCACAAACTGTTCGACAGATGGTGATGGCATACACATTCGCTCTGCACCCAACCTCATCCGCAATGCATTTTCCTCAGGACGAAACAAGAGTATATTACCATCTTGTTTCCTGTAGGCTTTCATACCTTCAAATAATCCCTAAAGAGCCAAACAAAAGAAAGAGTAAACTGGGATAGACTTTTATCCAAGTAATCATATTACTTAATTCAAATATGTCATTCTCAAACTTTTACTTCATTTTAACTTCATTTATCAAGGTTTCATTAATCAAGGTTTTGGGATCTACCTCCATGATAATACCTTTCAGAACCCACATATCTCAGAATCCAATATTAGTCCAGAAAAGCATACACACACACACACACACACACACAAAAACAAGCAATTCTCATGTTGAATGAAATGGAACTGGAGATAAAGACTTGAATATTGAACCTGCCCATAGTTCAAGACTCCAGCTGAGGGGCTCAATTCAATGTTCCCAAAACGCTGTAATTCACCTTTAGAAAAGTTTTCACCTTGAGCACATTTCATGACGTACATATAATCAGTAGGAAGAAACGCAAAGCCGAGGTTGTCCCATTCTATATCAGCTAATTCACTTGTTTCATTGCTGAACCCAACAAAGGCATGTCAATGCACAAAACCAAATCACATAACAAAACTAAGAAAGAAAAAAAAGCAACAACGACAACAACAAATAGTGATCTGAAACTAGGACAACTAATGAATAGTTTGATTAAACAAAAGAATCAAAGCAAAGAATGTGTTTATAATCAATGAATTTCACAATTTCCTGAGCGTACAAGAGAAATAATGAAGATAATAATAACAAGAAAATTTAAAAGAAACCCAAAAAGAATGAAGAGGCTTTACACAAAAGTATTAGACAATGTGGCACATCGACGAAAGGGAGAGGGAGAGGCTGCTTGACAAGAAGCCAAAGGAAGCTGCTTTTGGAGCTGCAAAGAAACAGTGGACAAAGCCAGTTTCAAAATTAAGATAAAACATCAAATAAAAATCCAAAAAAGAAAAAAGAAGCATTCATATTTGATATTAATGAGTGGGATGATGGGTTGTACCTTGACAGAGAGAGAAGGAGAGGAATGGGAGGTGGAGAAGAGGCGGAGGAGAGGAGTGGAAGAAGTATTGCGGGAGGGGCAAAGTGGGAAATTTGGCTGAAGACCTCCAAGGACGGCGCTGCTCTCCATCTCAAACTCAACCTCAATCTGAACACCCAAAAACCCTCTCTTCTTTTGTCTCTTTCTCTCTCTCTCGCCCTCTGAATATCTGAATATCAATAATATGACAGAGAGCAGAAGGGGGTACTTTCAATTAGATTGTGCTCGTGTTTTTTATTTTTCATTTTAGTCGCCGTTAGGCAACTGACAATGAAATAATTTTCTAATTGAAATTGGGAAATACATATAATTCAATCTAATCCAATCACAAACAACAGTCCCATTAAACTTGCGCGCTAAATGAGGAATCGTAAAAATAAAAGATAAAGAAAGTTGTTGTCAATTATAGCATTATATACTTCACTAATATAAGCTAATTGGAAAAAGATTCATGGTTCCATTTCAGTCAATTGACAATTATACTTCACTGAATATTTATGTCACTTTACGACCAATGAAAGTGATGGCTGTCCCAGGATAGATTTCGTTTTTGCCTACGCGTCTGCGGTTTGATTCTTCGACTTTTTTTTTTGGGTTGCATTACATTACGAACCAACCAGCTTTTTTGGGGTAAAACTGTAACACAAGAAAGTCAACTTACTATTTACAGTATTTAGATATTTTATTTTTTTTGGTGTCTTAATATACATATTATTTATCTAGTTGGAGTCATATGTCAATGTTACTCAACTGGTGAAATAACTTTTAATAATGCTATTGTGGTTGAACATGGTATCAAGCTCAACCCAAAACAAATATTTCCTAAAATTCTTTATGTTAGGACGAAAGTCTAAAATACCGATACTTTAAGTTGATTATATAGCGAAATGATAAACAGTGTATAAAATATGTAATAATTAATGAAAGAATATTAAACACATCATAATCATTTATTTATAATGATTGACTACAATATTTTATACTTTATACATTGCATAGTAAGATACATGAGTGACTTAGTACCACATAAAATTCCTATAAAGTTCAAATTTGAGTTATTTACACTAATACCTCCTGAGCTTTTCGACTTTTCACAAAACTCCTTGATGTTTTAAAAATTACAAGAACATCCCTTGAGGTTTTAAATTGTTTTTACAAAACTCATTTTCATTGATTTTTGATGATTTTATACAACAACCAAAAAAAAAAAAAATCTTCAAATGACAAAGTTGACCTTTGATATTAGATTGCATATACTTCATTGAGGTTAATTTTGTCATTTGCATAAGTTTTATTTCAATGAAATTCTCAATTTTTGGACAAACAATCAACGAAAAACGGTTTTGTAAAAACAAGCTAAAACCTCAGGGGGTGTTTGTGTAATTTTTTAGTCTTGAGGGGGGTTTTGTGAAAACACATGAAACCTCAAGGAGTGTTAGTGTAAATAACTTTTCAAATTTTTCATTGTCTTCATCATCTCGATATTTTCGATATTATCAATATTATAGTGATATTTTGGCCAAATGTTGCTGAAGTGTGAGAGAAATTATCGACGTCAATATTTTCCGATATTATCATCGATATTATCAATATTTATACGATATGTATATGGATACGTTCCAAAATATCCTTAACCTGAAAAAATGATAATATCCTCAATATTTCGTCGATCTTATCGATATTTTATACTATGGTTATGACTAATCACTTTATAGGTCAATGTCACTCATGTGGCAAAACAATTTTTTAAATATTTTTTTCATTTTAAGAAGAAGCAAAATGTGGCAAAACAAATCTTAATAATATTGTGATTGTTTTTATATATATAAAAATATATATATTATTGTTTGGGGAAAAAAAAAACCCCTTATTGTGGCTAAACATGTTACCAATTTCAACTCAAATCAAAATTTTCATCCAAATTCCATCATATTCGAACCAATAACTTGTTGGAAAAAAGGTAATTTAAAGTTTGATTTAAGGGTAAAAGATAGTGTAGCAGGAATTTCTAGTTAAGGGTACAGGGTAAAAGGGTAAAAGCTTGATTTAAAGCTTGATCTCTTTGCTGATCAAAGGAGGAGGGGGAACTTGGCTTTCGTGATTTCACTGTTTTCAATCAAAATCTTCTTTCTCAGATGGTGTGGAGAATGTTTACACAGCCTCATGCTTTGGTTAGTCAAGTTCTGAAGGCTAAATACTTCCCTAATAGAAGTTTCTTACATTCTGATTCGGGATCATCGCCTTCTTAATTTGGCAAAGTATTTAATGGGCAGTGACTTGCTTAAACAAGGCATCATATGGAGAGTAGGAGATGGTAGTAATAGTTTTGTTCTATTTTATCCATCCCTGTTGCACTTTCATCTCAATGCGACAAAGTTTTATGGCATTATACTTCTAATGATCAAAATTCAGTTCGTAGTGGCTATTGGATTGGTCTACACCATTCAAGAGATGTTGGTCTGAATATTATTGGTTCTAATGTTGGTCAAGGTAGTAGAGCTAGAATTTCTAGTTCAATGTGGAAAAAGGTTTAGAGGCTAAGAGTTCCTAATAAAATTAAGCTTTTTTCTATGGAAAGCATAACACCTCACCTTGTTCTTTTTTCTTTTTTTTCTTTTTCTTTTTTTTTTTGGCTCAGGAAAAGAGATTCCCATTCCAAAAGCGTGAGAAATCACACCAATCAAAATACAAAAAGCAGAAACCTCACATCATCAAATAGGTAATAAACCTCAAGAAAGCAAAACAACTTCCCAGTCAAATGATAATGTAAGAACAAAATCCTACATCTAGTACAAAGGTGCAGGGAGATTATCCCTAAACAAAATACACAACAGTGAATGAGGGGGTCTACAGACCCAAACTTGATGGCTCACACTCGAATTGGCTAAACTAGAAGCAACATGAGCTACTGCATATGCTCTCCTTGACACCCACTGCCACCTAATGGTAGAGAAAGAGCTAGTATGTCTCCAAATATCCTTCAGTATAGGGTACATAGGCCAGTTTCTAATGGAGTTCCTCTTGGAAACACACTCAATGACACTTTTGGCATCGCTTTCTATGCTGACATTTCCCAGATTCAAAGTCTTGGCCAAAGAGACCCCCGCTAAATAGCCTCAGCCTCAGCCTCAGCCTCTTTTGGGAACAACGAAAACCATAACAAGCTTCACCCTTAATGAAATTACCTTTGGCATTACGTGCCACAATGCCAATACTGGTTTGCAAAGTCTACTCCTTCCAAGATGCATCAACATTGTTCTTTACCAAAGGATCTGACGGCTATATCCATACAGCATTGTCCGTAATGTCCGGACCTTCACTAGCGATTTAATAGCAAAGCACCACACTTTCATCTAGACTTGCACAAGAAGTACGCCCCTTGAAGAAAGCATTACATCTCTCCTTCCAAATCTCCCAACAAATAATCCCAACTAAACAAAGCATATATATCAGCACCAGGATTGTTTACATTCAACATTGTCCTCATAGCAAGGAGCCAAAAATTAGAATTAGTAATCAGTCTTTCATTTGGCTTGTAACTCAAAAGGGATCCAAACCAAATGCCTTTTACCTATGGGCACAATAACAACAGGTGCTCTATGTTTCCTCAAATAAACCACACATATAACAAATGGGGGTGGGGGCAAACTTTACACCGAAATAGGTTGTTAAAATGAATGAGGTGGCACATGGTTGACAGCAGATTTAGAGCAAGCCCAGTGATATCCACTACGCATATAGTAATTACCCTCTCTCTCTCTCTCTCTCTCTCTCTCTCTCTCTCTCTCTCATGGCCAAATTAGGCGATCAGTTCCCTCAAGGTTATACAGCCTGAATACACACCGTCATCTTTGGAGTAATAAGATGTATAATGCGATCCAGCTCCACGTCTTCTAATGCCGATCAATAATTGAGCTAACCATAGTTTGAATAGGCCTGATGATAATATGTGTAGGCGTGGGGTGAGAGGTAGCATGACCCATCAACCAGTTTTTGTTCCAAATACGAGTGCCTTCTTCATTTCCAATTTGCCACATAGCGCATTCTTGTATGATTTTCCTTCCCTCCAAAAGACTAGTCCAAGCCCAAGAAGGATGAGCCCCCCGTGACGCATGGAATAAGTCATAATGTGGAAAATAACGGGCTTTAAGCACACGAGCCCCCACAAGTTGTCAGGGTTGCAGTATTGCCGCCAACACTACTTAGCCAAAAGTGAGAGATTAAAAGTCTCAATGTCCATGAACCTCATACCACCTTGTTGTTTAGGCAAGCAAAGAGCCTCCCAACTCTTCTAATGTATTTTACTTCCAAATTCACCATCTCCCTACCAAAATCTGCCTAGGGCACAATTAATCATAGTGAAAATACTCTTAGGAAACTTAAAATGCGACATGGTTAGCAGGGCACTATGAGCGCAACCGATTTTATAAGCACCTTCCTACCCGCTATAGATAGTACGCCAATCTTCCATCCCTGTACTTTTTTTTTTGAAATTCTCTCTCCAATATAAGTAAGAGCTAGTCTTTTAGACCTTCATGGCAATCTCTTTGGCTTGACCTCAGAACAGAAGCCCCAAACGGTGAGCTCTATGGAGCTTTGATGTGAACCCTGCCTGAGTCAAGGTACAGTGTTTTCCTGTGTCCTCTTTCCAGACTCTACTCTGTAGTCTCTTCCTCCCTTCATGGCGGATTACTACTCGGGAGACAAAGCTGAGGTGGATGAAGTGCTGTCTATTTTCTTTGAGGACAAAGTTGAGCTTGATCATATGATCGAAGATAAAATTACCCTGGTAGGTTTGCTGGTAGCTGACCAGGAGCCACCTCTGGCCACGGTGAAGGAGATCTTAAGGGTGCTTTGGACATATATGGGGGTGGTCAAAATCTATAAGGCTAAGGCCAATATCTATTCTATTAAGGACTGGAAGGTAGGAGCACTACCCTTTTAGTGATGAAGCTGTCGCTCGCAGGCTTTTGGACGGCAACCCCTTGTTCTTAAAGGGGTACGTCTTCACCGTTAAACACTGGCCGCTCTACCATTTTATTGATGATATCCAGCCGGACCGGCCTATTTTTTGGGTCCAAGCGCATGGAATTCCTAGGAACCAATGTATTGCCAAGAACGCTCGCATGTTGGGGGCGAGGATCGCTGCTGTGCTGGAAAATGAAGAAAGTGAAGAGATAGTGTCACACCCCAACCCTCGGATTTACAAAACCTTGGGTTACGATGTGATTCACATCTTAATTATAGAATTGAATACAAACTATAACTAAAATGTGAAGAAGACATTTAAATAAATAAAATAGATATTTCACATAAAATATTCAGCAGAAACGCGGAAACGATAACGTTTGAAACCATAAGAATTTTACATTATTTTACAAGTTAGAACTACTCGAGAGTTCACTTAAAGAGTAGCTCATTATTCAACCACAAGCTATGTTACATTCTATAGACATGCCAAAAATCATCACAAGCTCTAGATTTCAGGTTCGGTACCTGCAAAATCTATTAGGGGGTGAGCGAAACCACAGCTCAGTAGGGACATAAACCTTTTTACTATAAATTGACATAATTAAATTAAGTGACAAATAATCAAGCAGCCAAATTTCACATTATTAGTAACAATGCATGAATGCTCTTCATCTAATCCCGTTAATTCATATAACTGGACAAGCAGACCTGCACGTCCCATACCATGCTTATACCACTTGGTCCCGAATGCCCATTTATATGAACTAACACCCATTTTAATCATCCCATAATTCCCCCTTTTGTTAGTCATCTTGTCTAACTCCCTTTCGCCAGTCCCGAATCACCCAATAAAACTCATGTGCACTGTGGGATCCCTGAGACCTGGTACCTGCCAAGAGTTAGACTCAACTACACAAAAGACCATTCCCATTACCCTCTTTTTCCACCATTATTTTCTCAACCCAAGAACTCCAAATAATTTCCATGACATTATATAGTTCACATATCTCATAAAAACAATGTAATCATTTAAATATCACCAATGTACATATAATCATGCCCACATTGTTCAAACAATTAAGAGTACGTAAATCAAACAGTACCATGTATAATATTATGCTCACGAAATTTAATTAAATCAATCTCTGAAAAAGGCCCCCCAAGAAACCCCTACCTAAACTCCAAAGCTAGCTCCAAATTATGAAAACCCAAGCTAAGTACCTCCTCCAAGAATTTCCTTACTGCTCTCTCTCCCTCTACGTTTTTTCTTCTCTCCCTCTAAGTTTTTTCTTCTCTCTTTGTAAGAACTTTCATGCAGGTAAAAATGCTTTCGAAAAAACAAAGGAAGTGTCCTATTTATAGTAAAACTCAAGAGGTTTCAAATTGTTCTAATTGGTGGAGAGGTGATGACCACGTGGGAACTTGATCTCCAAGCTTAGGATAGCTATTTATCAAATTGCCAACACCTCATGCTAAAAAAAACTTAGTCATCTCAATAGAATGACACTTGGAGTCTTAAAGTGTGTTTGTACAATTTATCTAGGCCACTTCAACTTGGTCGGCAAGGAAGAGATAAAGTTAAAAGCAATACACAAACTTATTTCTAATATTACTACTACTTGTTTCTTTTTTTTTCTTTTTTTTCTTTTTTTTTAATAACTAAGAACAAAATCTAAAAGTATAACACCTAAAACAAAACAATTATATATATATAAGTTATTAAAATGGTCAAACAACTATATATATAATCAAAATTATTAAATTTAAGTGAAGCAAATAAAACATAGATTTCCATAAAATAATTTATAATTTTAATACTTACCAAAACAAATATTAACACCTTTAAGAATAAGGATTCTCACAATCTACTCCCCTTAAAGAAATTTCGTCCTCGAAATTTGAAACTTACTGGAATCAGAGAATAATTCTGGGTACTTCTTACGTATTTCAGTTTCTAATTCCCACGTAGCTTCTTCCATATTTCCATGTAGCCAAAGAACTTTGACCAATGGTATTGTTTTTGTACGTAAAA